GGGCATGGGGGGGGTGGTTTAGCCTGGTGATGAGTATTAAATAGGGCATGTACTGCATGGAACTCTGGGTGTTATACGCAAACAATGAATCATGGAACACTACACCAACTAATGATGTACTGTATGGTGATTAACATAACATAATAGAAATATAAATAATTTTAAAAATAAAAGTTTTTGCAATTGTGATTAGAATTAACATTTATTGAGCACTGGCTATGAGCTGAATATTGTAGTAAGAACTTGGGCACATTATTATCTCATTTACTCTTCAACACTCCATAAGGCAGGTTCAATTATTTTCTCCACTTTATTGAAGAACAAACCAAAAATGTAATTTGTCCAACATAATATCACTCTGAAGTCATGGCACTGGAACTGAATCGCAGATCAAGTATTGGGAGCAATATGCATTTCATTTATTAAAGTGGTCATTTATTCGTGCAAGCATGTTGGAAAGAATAGAGGTGCTTACTATTATTGCTTTTAGGACCTGTGAATTTTAGAATCTTAGCTACAGTCATAAATGTATCCTTCAAAAGTGTTTTAATGATATAAAGTAATTTTCCTAAATTTCTACAGGCTCTTTCTATAGACTCATATCTAAAGACAGAGCTCTTGTTATGAGTGATACATTAAAATACAGCCAAGTGTTCCTTGCTTATCCCTATATCACAAGCATCGTTTCCTTTACTCTGTGCTTGGTGTATGCCTTCGCCTTCATTCTCCTTCACTGTCAGTAATGGAGAGAGAAAATTAACATATCAGCACTGATACTGAGATAAGCAAATAGTATCTCCATGTAAATCCTTCCCTGTCCTCAATATATTAGTTGCTTTTGTGAGTTGTGATTCCTCATTTGAGGGTAATTAGAGTTCTACATTAGAAACTTAATATGCAGTGCTATCCAGTTTAAGTGATTTAAAATTTGATCCCTCGCATTTGTTTGCAGTAAAAGACATTTCTTTAGGTGCTCTCCCCAATCTAATGACCAGTTTAGCATGATAATGATGCACATAAATTTAAAAGCCACCTCCTGAATGCAGAAATGATATTGGAAGCTGTGGTTAGAGGCACTGGTGTGTGGCCATACAGAGGCAGTCACGGTCAGATCATCACAATTGGACTTACAAAACAGACTTGAAGATAATCAATAAAAAGAAATGGAGAGGGGTGCCTGGGTGGCTCAGTTGGTTAAGCGACTGCCTTCAGCTCAGGTCACGATCCTGGAGTCCCGGGATCGAGTTCCGCATCGGGCTCCCTGCTCAGCAGGGAGTCTGCTTCTCCCTCTGACCCTCCTCCCTCTCATGCTGTCTCTCATTCTCTCTCTCGCAAATAAATAAAAAAACCTTAAAAAAAAAAAGAAATGGAGATAACATTTTCTTTACTGAAGAGAGTATGTCTTAATGGTATACTTTTGGTCAGAGAGTTCATAGGTTTAGATAACACTAGGAATATAAAGATATTAGGTTTGGGCATTTTGGTATGAAGCATTATCAGAAAACTAATAAAAATAGCATTAAAAGTGATAGAAAGCTCACTTTATGCCTTGAATTCAACCTGGTCAGACTCGGGTCTGGACCAGGAGGCCTCTCTGCCAGGCCCAGAGACAGGTCAGCTGTAAGAGGATTGAGACCTGAAAAGCCTCTGAGACTTTTGTTCCTGACCCTCCCCCCTCTTTGTCTGGAAATCAGAAGAATTATTTTGATGAAAAAGACCTACAATGACCACCTGTTATGATCAAACCCTTGCCTGTCATTCAAGGCAATTAAGTCTGATGTACTTTATTTTTAGAATTATTAATTAAGCCTGTAAGTTCACTATGACTTCATGTTCCCTCTGGTAGTCTAAAAATGTATTTTAATGCCATATTGGTACCACCTTATTACTATTAAAAGTAACAATAAACTGCTGCCCAAAGTGACTATCATGTAGACCACACACCTCACAGTCTGAAGAAGGGCACCAGCCTCAATTTCCACGTCTGTATCAAGAGAGCCTCAGCTCCACCATCTCCCCAGAGTTCTCTTTATTTTTTATAGAATCTACCACCTATTAAAACACACTACACTCTATTATACATCAAATTCTCTCCCTTCACCACTCGTTGTCTTTATTTACCAGATGACTTAACAATACATATTTTTATCTCTGACCACACAGGTCCTAAACCCCTTTACCATCCCTGACACAGTTATAATTTTAAAAGCATTCTACCTTGGGATCTTATACTCTTAAGGACAACACTTGCACTCATCACTTTGTAGACAGGCCTTTTCTGGTCCTCATGCCTCATGGAAACTCTGGCTCTCACTCACCTTTCTGTCTAACCTGGATACTATTTTGAATTATTTCAAATGTTTCTTCACTAATGATGTCGATTTCACACTTTCCTCCACAATAATGTCTTGATAATCACCAACACTGGGGTCTGTGTGATACAAGGAAAATGGCTCTTAAGCCTCTATCTTGTCAAGTTAATATCCATCTTTTCTTGTTCCATCAATACAAAATTCTTGAAAGGATATACTAATCTAAGGGCTCCTGGGTGGCTCAGTCATTAAGTGTCTGCCTTTGGCTCAGGTCATGATCCCAGGGTCCTGGAATTGAGCCCCACATCGGGCTCCCTGCTCAGCAGGGAGCCTGCTTCTCCCTCTCCCAACCCCCCTGCTTGTGCTCCCTCTCTTGCTTTGTGTCTCTCTGTCAAATAAATAAAATCTTAAAAAAAAAAAAGGATATACTAATCTAATCTGTTTAGGTATTCATTATTAACTTATTTTAATTGAATTTATGTACATTCTAATGAACAATTCTGGAAAAAAACCTCATTTTCATTCCATTCAAATCTATTTCCTCTCCTGTATCTGTTTTCATTGTAAAGCCCCTCACAAAACTACATGATGTGACATAGCCCATTTAACTTGGCCATTCTGCATCCAAGTTTAGTCACATGTCCCTTTCAGAAGTTAAAATCACTGTGTTCGTTACTGAGTAATATAAATAAGTGATATCCCTGAACATCCTGCCCTGGATTAGTGCTCTTTCACTGCAGCTTCCTCAGCATGTGGCCATTTGCCCATAGGTTTCTTGACCCAAGAGGGCTGCTTCAGCACCAGCCATCAGACCCTCAGCACAACAGAGTTCAAAGGATGGCAGCAAAGTGTCATCAGGGCAATCAGAGACAGTTTTTCTTACAATCCTTGTTCTTTAACACATGTCTTGTCAGCCAGAATTGAGTGCCCTTTTCCAGGTCAATCACTAGGGAATTCTGTGACTCTATTTAGTTTGGGCTGATCATCTTGTATTCCCTGGGCTAAGGTCTCACTGACACATGAACAAAATAGGATTCCTGTTAGTAAAAAAAAAAAAAAAAAAAAAAAAAATGCATTTGAATCAGAGTGAGGGTTAATTTGGAGATAGGCAATTAAAAAGTATCTGTTAAAGTGTGACTTCAATATATACTTTCCATACCCTCCAGACCCGACATACTAAAAAAAAATGGCTTAATAACACTATCATTGAATATTATTATGATGATAATGATTGCCATCTAGGTTTATTTTCCATTCCTACCTTGTGCCCTTTCTCTAATATGCTCAAAATGAACCCTAAAAACAGAGTCAAAATATTCCATGTATCTCCTTGTGTAGTATATTTTGCTTCTCTGCCTGGCTACTCCAATATTTTTAAACATTTCTAGGTCAATATCTAGGGGTAATGGTTGCTAGTTATTGAGCCATGAACATTTACCATAAATTAAGAATAACAAATGTTTACTAACACTTATTACTATGTGTAAAGAATGTTGCTAAGCATTATTTACCTGAATGTGCTCATCTAATATTAGCCCTGAGACTATAAACTGTGGTCTTCCATTTACATATAACTCATGTGCAATGAGAATTCACATAACTTGTCCAAGGTTACCAGTTAGATGAAGGCCACAGATTGAAAACTAAACTCTAGAGCCATGTTTTCAAGTGTCGTGTATACGGTATCTTATTTCATTTCCACAACTATATGGGTTGCATAGTATTAGCCCCATTTCACAGATCAGGAAATGGTGATTCAGACATACTAAATAGTTTGACCAATAGCACAGCTACAGATATGCAGAGATGAGACTCAACTTAGATTTGTCTAACACAATTCTACGCCTTTCATTCATCATTTAAGGGGCAGCAAAGAATGTTACTCCTTCTCTGAAACATTCCTTAATTTCCCCAAGATTAATATGCCTTTTACCCTCCATGGACCCCACACATAACTTTCCATTCAAAAGCACTTAGCAAGCCATACAGTGGTACTTAGCACACCATGTGATGGGCATTTAGCATGTATTATGATGATCACTTAGCAACCATACATCGCACTTTGCACGCTTTATGACTGACACTCAGCACACCATATAATGAGCATTGAGTAGTGTAAAAAGTCACCCAGCATACCATACGATGGGTAATTTGCATGCTGTATGATGGGCACAGCATAACATATGATGGGCACTAAGCACATACAATGGTTACCTAGGATGCCATATGATGGACATTCTGTATGTCATCAGTGAGCACTGAGCATAAATTACCATAAGCACATAGCACATCATATGGTGGCCACTGAGGACACAGTACATTATAAATGGTACCTTTCTATCAGACCAAACATGAACCCCATAACAGCAAGTTTACATATTATTTTTCTATCCACAACACTTGCCACAGTACTTATCTTAGTACAGAGAATGAATTCAATGGTAGAGTACTTAGTACAATAGTTGTTTTAGTAAATAAAAAATCCTTTATGTTTTATGTGTTTTTCACAGAAAAAAATTCATCTTCTATGTATTTAAGCTTACTAGCTATTAATTAAATAGATATTTGAGGGATTACTATGTGACACATACTAGTAAAGAGAAAACCTGATGCCATGTAAGGAAACAAAAATAAAGGATAATAATACTGGACCAAATTAACCTTTCCCTCAGTTTAGTTAATGCATTTTTATGATGACGAAGTCATTTTGAGACTGTTTAGAGATGGGAAAAACAAGAGATGATAACACCTATATTTAGAATTTCACATGTAATTGCTTCCAACAGGGCTCAGGTTCTTAGTCAGGATTTAATTTCACAGTTAGAGGAAATGGATGACTGAGTTCTGACATTAAAAGCACGTATGCTTCCTCACTACTCCACTTCCCATTCAAGGAGACGTCTGCAATTTACTTCTTATCCACATCATCTCTTTTAAGAACTCCAACCCAAAACCAAAATGTTGCTTTTAAGAATAAGCAGTTGAACTCTTACATGTGATAGCAGCAGTCTGAGCCATTTCAGGTAGGCTATATCAGTAGATGAGTAATTATTTTATAATATCATTTATGAGACAATATACCATGAAAATAAAATAACATATGTTCAGTGCAAGCAACTACATATCAGCAAATAGAATTTGTAATCCAGTTACAAACCCTTTGACAAAGCAAATACTTGGAAAATTCTAGGAAGTATTTAATCCCATCTTTAAGAATAAATCCTATTCTCATACTTTCTTCAGCCTGACACTCCAATTTTAGCAATAAACTTCAACATGTAGGACGAGTTTCTTTAGGAATTTGGCAACAATTTTTTCCATCGCTGCCTAGCAAAAATGGAAAAAAGGAAAGCCCCTTGGAAGTAATTTGGCATGTAAATGGGATAATTTTCTGCCTTATTTACTCATATTTTGAAGCTATATCAATAATTTATAAGTAGATGATTAAAAATAAAGCTTCAATCTGTTCCACTCATGTTGTGAGAAGCATATTACTTTTCATCATCTTATGTTTAGATGTCAGTTTTACCAATATGTAGTTTTAATTTTTTACATGGTTTTTATGTTTCAGAAGCATCAGACAAATATGATTTTACACAGTCTATAAGCAATTTCTAAACAATTATTCATTACACCCATCCTTTAGCCAAAATGCTATACTATAGACATATGAAAAAGGTACTAGGTCTGTCATTACAAAGTGCCACAGACTGGTGACTTAAACAATAGAAATCTATTTCTCACAGTCCTGGAAACTAAAAGTCTGAGATCCAGGTACCCGCAGGGGGGGTTTCTCCTGAGGCCTCTCTCCTTGGCTTGTAGAAGGCCATCTTCCCCGTGTCCTCACATGGTCTTCCCTGGGTGTCTGAGTGCTAATCCCTCCTTTTTATAAGGACACCAACCACTGGATGAGGGTCAACCCTAATGGTCTCATTTTAATTCAATTATATCTTTAGAGAGTCCAATGCCTATAAAGTTACATTCTGAGCTCCAGAGGGTTGGGACATCAACACATAAATTTGGGCCGATGCAATTCAGCCCAAAGTTGAAAGGTACTTTTCTCATGGTCTAAGAAAAAGAGACTAAGAACCCTGGATTATATTTATTCATATTCAGTTGTGTTGAAAATAAAATCACTTCCGGCAATGGTTTGATCCAAGCTTTGCTACTTACTACCCACAAGGTCTTGGAAAAATTATTTAAGAAAGCAAATACGTGGTGACCTTTGAGCATTTTAAACTGTACTTGTGGGTAATATAGTTCTTCTTCGTGCAGGACCCCTTAAAAGTTACTATCCCATAAAAACCTGTTTCCCAAATATCCTAATTAAAAATACCCTCCCTTGGGGGAAGGGAGCAAGGAGTGTAATCAACCACAGTTTCCCAGAGACCCTTCCCAGAGGATTCTGTGTCACTGCATCTGAGAAGGGGCTAGGAATTGGTGTTTAACAAATGCTCTGACGGTTCTGAACAGGAAAGACTAGAAGACCCCAATATGCATCCCCTGTTCTCTAGATATTGCCCTCACTTAGCTTTCTGTGCCCTCATTTCATTATTTCTACAAGTGTGCTGTGCTAAGCGTTAAGAACAATTGTTGCCATTGTCATCATCATGACCATGACTTTTGCTAGTATGACTACTAATATTCATTTTTAAGTATTTTACCTTGCAAATGTCTCTTTCTTTGCTTTCCGTGATAACATTGTTTCCTGGGAAGAAAACAAAACAAGTGCTTTTGGACACACCTAAAAGGTAAATTTTATTTTGAAAGAAAGCTTTTATGCGAAAATTATGAGAATTAATGAAGGATTATAACAGGAATTTCTTAGCAATCTGCCATCTCCTCATTTTTAAGGTATGTGAGAAAAGACTGAACTTTTACTTTCTTAACATAAAGATATTCTTAAATACCTGATCTCTATATTTTTGGCAGTAGCAAATAAAACTGAGTTGAGAGTATCTGTATGATATTCTCACTGTTGTACAATTGGTTTATCTATTTGTTATTAGGAATTCATAGAAGACTTATTCAGCATCCTAGTCTTACCTTTCAGAAACGCTGAAACCAGTGAACACCTTTGTTTTCTTAAATTGTCTGACAATTAAGTCTGTACGCTCCTATATGTGGACACAAGTGTGTGTTGGAGCACTGAGCAGTACAATTATTGCCCTTAGCTAGCAGTCCTTTTTATATAAACCTCTGCAATGCCTAGATACAAAGTGGCAAATTAGGTTTTAGAAGAGTTTCATTACTTCTTAGAAGTATGTAGCAACCACAGCAAATGAATCTAAGGTTTTATACCCCTGTGAGCTAATTTTCATGTTCAGTATTTATGACCTTACTTTGCCACCTGTTCCCATGCAATCTTTACCACAATGCTGGAAGTATGAGCTACTGGAATCCATGCAGTATTTATATTTAGCACATAACAGACAATAAATAGATGTTAAATATATGTACTGCCAGTCGCATTTTATAAGCAAAGATTCTCTTCCCTAGTCACTGGGTATACTCTTCTTGTGGGAGCTTATACAACTCAATTTCCTATGAGAATAAGTACTCATACTGCATTTTACCAGATATACCACTGAAATTTCTTCTCTTTACTACTTCTGTTCTCCCTTCATTGATCAACAGTGCTTTCACATGGATCTTCTTGTCCCCATTTCCATGACCAGCTGCTGCCCAGGCCACTGCCTCCCAACCTGGAGAACGCCAACTATCTCCCCCTGATCCCACCCCCTTATTACTTCTTGGTATTGTAGCCAGAAAGGTCTCTTTAAAACATGAATCTAAGTATCATTCTTCTGCTCAAAAGACTTTGATTCTACTAATTACCTTGAGAGTGGAGTCCACACAGCTTAGCAAAGTTTACAGGGCCCTTAGATCTACAAACTGTGCAGGGCTCAGCGGCTTTTCTCCATGCCCTTCCTGTGTACCTGGCTTTGTGACCTACTTAAGTTCCTCAAAGTGTCCTCACTTCCTCTTTTCTCTGCCACTCCCATCCCCTCACCCTCTCCAGGCATGTGAGCACACTGGACCTTCTGCTTGGGATAAGCCAGGAAATACTTACCATCTTGTTATTTGCTTTGCCAAATGAATAGAAATCAAGGGTTGGTGGGGGGTGGGGGGGAAGGGAGGTAGGGTGCACATTACCAAGGATGTGTATGTGCCTTGAATTTTGAAAATAATTATCCAAAGAAAATATGGATTAAGGAGTGTGAAACACACACGGCACACAGCCTGTAAGGGGTGCGTGTCTGTGTCAGAGGATATACAGGGGCCGTGAGCAAAGGTAACAAGCACTGGAAGGTGGGCACAGTGCTGAGGCTGGAGGTGAGAGGCCAGCATGCACATGCCAACCTGCTAAACAGCTTTACTCAGGGTTAGTCCCCACCCCAGTATTTGTACCACCAAAATATAGGATCGTTACTCTTAGCTTTCTCATCCAGAAACATAAACTTGAGATTTAAATTTAAGATAAATATGCTTGTCTTATTCCATACCTCCCCCAGCTCCCATTGCTCATTTAGTTTTAAGCTCAAACTGCATTATTTTCATGATTTAAAATTCAAACTTTTGGTACAGTCACAATATCCTAGAAATCCTGGGAAAATTCTACATCTGTGTTGCTGGTTTCCCAACATCCAGCTATTCTAAAGTGCTCCACATAATACAACTAAATAAGCACAATCATTATTTACATGACCAAATCATGTTATTTCACAGACCTATCTGACAGCCTCTGTTACCCTCCAAAGCACATAAACATTATTTCTGGCAGTTTCCTTTAAAATTATTTTTTCAGGGCACCTGAGTGGCTCAGTCCGTTAAGTGTCTGCCTTTGGCTTGGGTCATGATCCCAGGGTCCTGGGATAGAGCCCCGCATCAGGCTTCCTGCTCAGCGGGGAGCCTGCTTCTCCTTCTCCCACTCCCCCTGCTTGTGTTCCCTCTCTCGTTGTGTCTCTCTGTCACATAAATAAATAAAATCTTCACAAAATAAAAATAAATAAAAATAAAAATTATTTTTTTCTTTTTGTATATAAAATTTTGTATATGCTGATAAATAGATGAGCTTAACTTCCCTAGAATGCACTTGGGTTTCTGTGTTTTACATGTAGAACTAAGAATATCAGAACTTCAAGGGGACTTAGATACCATCTAGTTAAGGTGTTTTATTTAAAGATATGGAAACTAGGCTCAGAGGTTGTAATTTGTCTAAATTCACAAAAATAATAAATTACAGAATCAAGTCAAAAGCCAAAATTAGTCAGGCATCTAGTACAATATATTTGACTCTATTTGAAGATGCTGTTACTCTATTCACAACCACTTATGTAGGAAAAGTAATTTAAAAAATAACGTAGTGAGAGACTATTTTTTGTGTCACAAGTGTGCATTTATTGGCAATAAAAACAGAAGACACTGTAATATTCTTAAGTAAAAGTAAGTCCAATAAATAACACTAACTTTTCAATGTCTGGTTCAGTTTGCTGTGTTCAAAGTATGGGCCAAAAAAAAATGACACTATGGGAAAAAAAGAACTTTTCAGTGTTTCTTGTAGGTCAAATTTTCCTACAGTATGTTTATGAAAATATCTAGCAAGCTGCCATATAAATATGATCTGTTGTCTCATATAACTGCCCTCATTCCAGAGCTACATGATTTGTTCCCTTAATATGTTATATACCATTTCTTTACCAGTTTAGTATAGGTTAGAACTTGGCACATATTTCTCAACTACATGAAATATGAGGCACATAAATTAAATAGAAACTAAAAATTAAAATGTGATTAATAGAAACAGTGGATTCAGAAGAAGAAAGCCAACCTTAATATTAATGGTGGTGGTGGTGATGGCGGTGGTGGTGGTGAGGGTGGTGACAGTGGTGACAGTGGTGGTGGTGGTGACGGTGGTGGTGGTGGTGGTAGTGAGGGTGGTGATGGTGGTGAGGGTGGTGGTGGCGGCGGTGGTGATGGTGGTGGCGGCGGCGGCAGTGACAGCAGTGACGGTGGTGGCGGTGGTGGCGGTGACGGTGGTGGCGGTGGTGATGGTGGTGGTGGTGGCAGTGGTGACAGTGGTGGTGACGGTGGTGACGGTGGTGGTGGTGGTGAGGGTGGTAGTGGTGGTGAGGGTGGTGGTGGTGGTGTTGGTGGTGGCGGTGGTGATGGTGGTGGTGGTGGCAGTGGTGACAGTGGTGGTGACGGTGGTGGCGGTGGTGAGGGTGGTGGTGGTAGTGGTGGTGATGGTGAGGGTGGTGGTGGTGGTGAGGGCGGTGGTGGTGGTGGTGGTGGTGGTGGTGGTGAGGGTGTTGGTGGTGGTGGTGGTGGTGACGGTGGTGGTGGTGACGGTGGTGGCGGTGGTGAGGGTGGTGGTGGTAGTGGTGGTGATGGTGAGGGTGGTGGTGGTGGTGAGGGCGGTGGTGGTGGTGGTGGTGGTGGTGGCGGTGGTGAGGGTGGTGGTGGCGGTGGCGGCGGCGACGGTGGTGGTGGTGGCGGCGGTGGTGGTGGTGAGGGTGTTGGTGGTGGTGGTGGTGGTGACGGTGGTGGTGGTGACGGTGGTGGCGGTGGTGAGGGTGGTGGCGGTGGTGAGGGTGGTGGCGGTGGTGACGGTGGTGGCGGTGGTGATGGTGGTGGTGGTGGTGAGGGTGGTGGCGGTGGTGAGGGTGGTAGTGGTGGTGAGGGTGGTGGCGGTGGTGACGGTGGTGGTGGTGGTGGTGGTGAGGGTGGTTGCGGTGGTGGTGGTGACGGTGGTGGCGGTGGTGAGGGTGGTAGCGGTGGTGAGGGTGGTGGTGGTGGTGAGGGTGGTGGCGGTGGTGGTGGTGACGGTGGTGGCGGTGGTGAGGGTGGTAGTGGTGGTGAGGGTGGTGGCGGTGGTGACGGTGGTGGTGGTGGTGGTGGTGAGGGTGGTGGCGGTGGTGAGGGTGGTGGTGGTGATGGTGGTGGTGGTGATGGTGGTGGTGGCGGTGGTGATGGTGGCGGTGATGGCGGTGGCGGCAGCGGCGGCAACGGCGGTGGTGGTGGTGACTGTGGTGGTGGTGACGGTGGTGGTGGTGGTGGTAGTGAGGGTGGTGATGGTGGTGAGGGTGGTGGTGGCGGCGGTGGTGATGGTGGTGGCGGCGGCAGCGGTGACAGCAGTGACGGTGGTGGCGGTGGTGGTGGTGACGGTGGTGGCAGTGACGGTGGTGGTGGTGACGGTGGTGGCGGTGGCGATGGTGACGGTGGTGACGGTGGTGGTGGTGGTGAGGGTGGTAGTGGTGGTGAGGGTGGTGGTGGTGGTGTTGGTGGTGGCGGTGGTGATGGTGGTGGTGGTGGCAGTGGTGACAGTGGTGGTGACGGTGGTGGCGGTGGTGAGGGTGGTGGTGGTAGTGGTGGTGATGGTGAGGGTGGTGGTGGTGGTGAGGGCGGTGGTGGTGGTGGTGGTGGTGGTGGCGGTGGTGAGGGTGGTGGTGGCGGTGGCGGCGGCGACGGCGGTGGCGGTGGCGGCGGTGGTGGCGGTGAGGGTGTTGGCGGTGGTGGCGGTGGTGACGGTGGTGGTGGTGACGGTGGTGGTGGTGACGGTGGTGGCGGTGGCGGTGGTGGCGGTGGTGACGGTGGCGGTGGTGGTGGTGGTGAGGGTGGTGGTGGTGATGGTGGTGGCGGTGATGGTGGTGGTGGCGGTGGTGATGGTGGCGGTGATGGCGGTGGCGGCAGCGGCGGCAACGGCGGTGGTGGTGGTGACTGTGGTGGTGGTGACGGTGGTGGTGGTGGTGGTAGTGAGGGTGGTGATGGTGGTGAGGGTGGTGGTGGCGGCGGTGGTGATGGTGGTGGCGGCGGCAGCGGTGACAGCAGTGACGGTGGTGGCGGTGGTGGTGGTGACGGTGGTGGCGGTGACGGTGGTGGTGGTGACGGTGGTGGCGGTGGCGATGGTGACGGTGGTGACGGTGGTGGTGGTGGTGAGGGTGGTAGTGGTGGTGAGGGTGGTGGTGGTGGTGTTGGTGGTGGCGGTGGTGATGGTGGTGGTGGTGGCAGTGGTGACAGTGGTGGTGACGGTGGTGGCGGTGGTGAGGGTGGTGGTGGTAGTGGTGGTGATGGTGAGGGTGGTGGTGGTGGTGAGGGCGGTGGTGGTGGTGGTGGTGGTGGTGGCGGCGGCGAGGGCGGTGGTGGCGGTGGCGGCGGCGACGGCGGTGGTGGCGGCGGCGGCGACGGCGGTGGTGGTGGCGGTGAGGGTGTTGGCGGCGGTGGTGGCGGTGATGGTGGTGGCGGTGACGGTGGTGGCGGTGGTGACGGTGGCGGTGGTGGTGGTGGTGAGGGTGGTGGTGGTGATGGTGGTGGCGGTGATGGTGGTGGTGGCGGTGGTGATGGTGGCGGTGATGGCGGTGGCGGCAGCGGCGGCGGTGACGGTGGTGGTGGTGACTGTGGTGGTGGTGACGGTGGTGGTGGTGGTGGTGGTAGTAGAGATCATAGTAGTTAGTAGCAATGGTAGCAGCTATTTGTTTGTTTGTTTGTTTGATTGGGTAGCAGCTATTTTTTGAGTGCTTACTAAGGGTCAGGGATTATTCAGAGCCTTTACAAGTGCTGATTCATTCATGCTTTCCTTATAATACTTCTGAAAGGTAGATATTGTTACTATTAACTTTTGACAAGAAAGAAACCCAAGACACAAATATGTTGAGCAACATGGTCAAGGAATTACATTTGGTAAAAATGGCAAAGCTACACTTTTAACCCAGGTACACTGGCTCCCAAGTCGATGCTCTCAGCCACTACGTCTCTCAAGGTATGATACTGAATTATGCACAAGACTAGTGATGAGCAATCATTTATGAAGCATGAGGGATATTTTTATAATTATGGAAATTCTGAGTCAGATTCACAAAAGTACATAATGCATGTGCTACCTCTGAGAACTGAGCTCTCCTGGTAGAGCAAGCATATTTTGAAGATTAATGAACCTTGAGCTCATATTATAAATGATTGATATTTCCTGGACATCTACATATTCTGCCTCCCAAATTTACTAAATATGAGTATAGATCATCTTGTTTAACTTTCAAATGTCTCAGTTTCTCATCTGAAAAGGGGCTATTAACTGGATTTATAGAGTGAACTTATATGGACTGATAGGGGTTTAGACAGTACATGGACAATACAAGGGCTTAGATAAAAATGACACCTACCTAGCCTAATGCTAGCTATGGCTTGTTTACATATTTTCTCATTTAGTTATCAGAACATTTTTTTTAGATGAATGAACCAATGTGAAAAGAGATTTACAAACTAACTTCAATCGCCCAAGTAGTGATTATTTGAACCATGATTTGAATCACTATTTCTTTAACTCTTAAATCCTCTGCTCTTGTCACTGTATCATATTATTATTTTCTTGGAGGCAAGGTCATTTTCATGAGTCTGGTGTGTTCAGATCCACTCCCTCACCACTTAACCTCCACTGATCCTATGAACCAGATTCATCCAAAAGCCTCCTATGAACACAGCAGTGCTGCTGAGACATGTGACTAGCCCAAGGAGGCCACTCCCCAGGAACAGCATCCTGAGTGCTTTCCTGAAATTTTTCAAATTGCAACTGAAAAGGACAATCAGTCTTCTTCCAGTTGTAGCAGTGATAAAATATAGAATTGAGCACCTCCACTGGCTGCATTTTCCCACTATGTAGAGAAAGCTTGTGAGAGGAAAAAAAAGGCTACTCAAGAGAAAACTCAGGAAATAATAAATGGAAAATGATTTCTAGAAGGTTTTTTGGGGTTGTTCCCGGGTTTGATTTTTTTATTTTTTTGTTTGTTTGTTTGAGATGTTTCTGAAGCCAGCTATGTGCCTCAAATCCCAGCAGATTGGGAATTTGACTCTTCCTTAATTTTCCTTAGCCAATATAACACCGATATTTTCCTGAGCTAGTCAGAGGTAAGATTCTGTCATTCAACTGAAACACAGTACATCCATATTCAAGACTAATACATAGTCGTTTTAGATTTCATTATTCTGCTTCCAATTCCATTAAAGAAGTTAATTTTTGTTTTCAAAATGCACATAATATTATACCCATCTCTTTAGAATGTTAACAAAAAGCGGATACATTTTTGTCATTTGAAAAACCAGCATCTATGGAATTTAAGAATGAATTTCAATTTTTATGAACTATAAAAAGAAAAGAAAAGAATTATTCAATCTTTCTTTCAAACTTCTCCAGATTTTTTGCAGGCCATATGGAAGAAGATGAAGAACCGGGCTCTGTAGTCAGCATCCTTACATAACCCAGCTCAGCAATTCACTACTTATGCAGCCTTGAGTAAAATCCTCTTGGGACTCCCGGGTGGCTCAGTTGGTTAAGCATCTGACTCTTGCTTTCAGCTCAGGTCATGATCTCGGGGTCCTGGGATCAAGGCCCACATTAGGCTCCATGCTCAGTGGGGAGTCTCTTGAAGGTTCTCTCCCTTTGCCCCTTCCCCCACTAGCGTGCACATGCTCTCTCTCTCTAAAATAAATAAATAAATCTATAAAAAAATAAGTAAAATTCTCTTGTTTCTATTTTCTTTTACAAAGAGAGAACAATTGTGTCCACCTCATAGGGACATTGTAAGGATAAAATGACTCTACGTCAGCAAAGCAATAAAGTACTGAGAATAGCACTTGACAACAAATTTTAATTCCTGTTATTATCATTTATTTGAAATAAAATATTGGAGATTATGAAAAATGTAATAAAAAAAAAAAGAAGTAAAACAAACTGCTTGTTGGAACTGAATTACCTCCTCCAGCCATTGAAATGGTAGAGTCCATTGCCAGTGGACCGTTAGTGGCTTCAGACACTTCTAAGATCTGAACAACGAGGATATTCCAAGTTGACCAGAAAGTCAGCAAATCATGTTTCCAAGTTGCAGGTGTGCAGCCTTAGCTTTCATAATCACATGGATCATTTTCAAATCATAAATTTGAAAAATAGGGAAACACGTAGAGGCTTTATGATAAATGGAACCTCAAAGCATGGTTATACCTTACTCAGGGTCTCTTTCCTCCTCAAGTACCAACACTCACTTAGCTCTTACCAAGTGAGGGTGTACTTAGCAGGCCTCAGTTTTGCTAATTACACATCCAACCAGTACCTATTAGACTGTGAGGGGGAACAAAAACATAACCTGAGACCTGCTCTGGAAAGAAAGGAAACATTACTTTCCTCCTACTTCCTGAGACTTTTAAGTTACTGGCAAATGCTCACTGTTACAGTCTAGGGGCAACAGAGAGAATAACTAAGCTTAGTGACCTACAGCAATTTTAGTTGCTCCCTTCATAAATTCGATGACAGCTGTATCTGTGATGCTAAATTAAAGTGTTTGGAAAAATTATTTGTTAAAAATGAATTCTAGGATTCAGACACCAATCCAGTGAAGAGGAAGGCTGGCACAGTGTCTTAGTCTAATAACTATTTACTGGTTTACTCTGAGATATTGGTGCTTTCCTTTATGTGGTTCAAACACCTTACATCTTATGCTTTTTATAAGGAAAACAAAGGAAAATATGACACATACTGAAGTTATGAATCAGTCTTAAATAAAGAGTAATTCTTCCTTTTTTTTTTTAATGTTCTGAAACTCTGAAGAATCACATAGGTTTTCATCTTACAGTAAGCTTAGCCTTGTATTTTATGATATGCTGAAATATAATTTTGGATTCTAAAGTTAAAATAATAAATTGCTTCCATTCTTAGGCTAAATTGTTTTTATTCTATAACAAGTCCAAATTGTGTGCACACTCTGGAAATGATATCTAAAAAGGTATTTGAACATTTTTACACATGCGTAAAACAATGACAAAGAGTGGTTCTCCTTCAGCTTAGTGATCAGAACTTTGTCAAGCAGAAAAAATAAAATATGTTGGTTCCAATACTATTAAAGCGTGTTTTACAATATTAACCTAATTTAAAACATTGTCAAATATAATATTTTTCATGCTGTGGTGTACCTCATTCTCCACTGAGAAAATGAGTCCTAGCCTTAAATATATATATATAAATGTTCAGAATCTCTGGTCCTCTATAAGTGAAACACAAATTTTTCCACTTAAAATGCTGAAATATTTTATAACTCTCTGTCTCATAGTTCTACTAGAGATTATTCTGTTAATGGCATGATCAGGTAGAATCATGTGTAAATTTTTAGAATGAGAGATTAAAACTCAGGAAGCTAATGAAATATAACTCCTGTATCAGCATAGAAATAAAAGCAACAATCACCCTAAGTCTCATAGGGAAATGTTCACAGAAGATGAGATTAAAACAAAACATTTTTGGCATATTAACAAATATAACCATCAAGAGGAAGAGACAGGTAGACTTTTAAAATATAAAACTTCACATAGGCATGCATCCAGTGAGCATGCCAAGCGCATACTGAGAAAGTGAATATTCAAATTTCTTATAAATTTATAGACTCAGAGGCACCTGGGTGGCTTGGTCGTTAAGCTTCTGCCTTCGGCTCAGGTCCCGATCCCAGGGGCCTGGGATCAAGCCCCACATCGGGTTCCCTGCTCAGCGGGCAGCCTGCTTCTCCCTTTCCTTCTGCCTGCCGCTCCCCCTGCTTGTGGTTGGTCTTTCTCTCTCTGACAAATAAATACAAAAATCTTAAAAAAATAAAATAAATAAATTTATAGATTCAAAATGATGTGGGCAATGACTGAAGACATAGAAGTGGGTGAGAATTTTATCCTATCTATACAAAATCCTTTCCAACACAAAGTCAATGTTTCTTAAATCATAAGCAGAGTAAGCAAAGTTAAGAGTCATAGAAATAAAAGACCTAGCAGCATAGCTGGGGACAAGTCAGGGCCACTGAGAAGTCAGGAAGAAGGACCAGTTTTATGCTAAAGAGGATTTTGGAGGTTTCATCTGATCTTATCTTCTTGCTCTGCAAACAAGGAAACAGAGCCAGGCAGTTCCGAGTAAATCCTACATCACAGAGTCATGGCAAGTATTAAATAGAAAAAAGTCATGTGTAAAGCGTAAAATGCTAGACTGTGTTAGTTATAATGGTTCATATCATGGTGTCTAGAATCCAGCATCAGAAATTTGACCATTTATTAGCAATTGGAAGTCAGTAATGTCTACCTGTATTTTTTAATGTGGAACAGGGATGAAAATGGAACATATCTCATAACAGGTTAAATAAAAAGACATGTGAACACACTTAAAACAGTGCCATAAGCATAGCGACTTAAATACGTAATACTTTAGTGAAGAATGAATACTTAAATAATGCTTTTTTTTATGCTGCATGATGGCATATTTTACATGACCTCAAAACTGTGGCTAGGATGATTGACACTTGATTATTTTCAAACCAAAATTCTGTGTAATGAATACACTTGGCCATAGGCAATTATATCATAGACCAATTGTTCAAAAGAGTACAAGAAATTGGAGTCCAGAAAGACGAATGACAAGGCCAGAGTCACACCTTTTTACTAAAAGGTAGGACTAGAGTTCACACTTTTTGATATTAATTAAGCTTTTTAAATGTTTCTCATTTTGACTACTGCATAAGTACAATAGAAAAAATATTCAAAGATGATTTATTCAAGCATAAGCTATGCACAAGGCTTTGCAACCTCGTTGTTTAGATTCATAAATAAACCCTTCCAGGCAACCATGAAGGGTTGGCCTTCCAACCAGGAAGATGGCCCAGGTATAAGGCAACATGGGACATCGGGCAGGACCATTCATTAAGGCCTCTGTTCTTTTAGTATTAGCACAAGACATATTAATATCTGACATCTCTTGGTGAGTCAAGCCCTAAATGATTTTTCATATGTGAACAAATTTCAATTGTTGAAAAGTACTAAATAATTATAATTTTCTATAACAAAACCATTTGAAAAGTTGCACTGGTTCTGATTCCAGAACAAGATATAATAGACTCACTTTTCCTTGCTTTTTTTGCTAGCTTTATTTAGAGGAAATGGATATTGTCCTGGAAATTATTCAGCATAAAAGAATTAAAAGGGCTCTGAAATCTGGCCGGGGCAGCAGGGGTTAGAGGTAGGGCAAGGTCTATTATCTAAAGAACTCAGGACTTAAGGAAGGAAAACAATGTGGTAACTGTAGGGTTTTTTCTTTTTCATAATGTTGGACTGGGGATCAAAGAGACCTACAGGGACTGCCAAAAGAATCTGCCTGTCTAGACAAAAGGTTGGGAATGGGAAGCCCACCAGAGACCTTGTAGGAATCCTGTCACGCACACTGGAGCCCTGTCAGTGGTTCAATCCTTGGGAGCAGCACTGCAGTGAAGCCCAGATGCCCTGCTCCACTTAACAGCTGGCCTGGTGGGTGAGCTGATCTACAGGCATCATGGAAGTCCTGGTTGCCCCGACAGCATGTCACAAACGGGATACGGGTGATGTTCTGTTTACCAGCAGCTATGCAAGCAGTAAAGCCCTGATTATAAGATAAATTAGACTTTATAGCAAAGAAAATTACTAGCAAATAAGATGGGTATCATATAATGCTAAAAGAATCAATCCACAAAGGTGATACAGCAATCCTAACTGTGTATATCCCAATGGACAGAGCTTCAGGATTCAAGTAGCAAAAACTGATAGAGCTGAAAGGAGAAATAAAGCCATCCACAACCATGCTGGGATTTCAACACTGAT